AGTGGCAGTTTTTTGGATGCAGCTACAAAATTTGGATGAAAAGAAATTTATGATTGTTGCGGAAATGGATACTTTACTGAGGAAACGAGAAGAATTGAATAAGAAGATTTGGATGCAAGAAAAGGAAACCTACCGTATGGAGGAGAAGTTGCAACGAATTGATAGTTTGTTAGTTCCGTATTTCCTTTGGGATATACCTAAATTGAATTTTGCGCAAAAGTCTTGAGCAGGAGTATATCATCTGAAGAGAAAAGAGATGGATCTCATTTGCTCATGTTTTTAAGTACCGACTAAAACAATTCAATATAGATTGCCATTTCTTATAATTATTGTTTTGAAAATGTGAAAGGGATGCATAAAATTTAGAGGCAGTCAAGTATCTCATAATTTTGATAGTAATCATTTTATCATGATCATTTTACCTTGTGATCATTATTTTATCAACTACTTCTGTTTGAATCCTTTTTTGAAGTCGGAACTATTACAGCTTGTTTATGGGCTAGCAAGTAGCAGTTTGATAATCCATAAATAATCCATATCATGATAATTAGTCGGAAAAGTTAATGCACCTTACAACTTCAAAATCATCATTAACTCAATTGTCAAAATAAGTAACCCATGAAAAATCCGCAATTTGTGAAAGCAGCAATATTGCACCGTACAACTTCCATCATCTCTGATCATTCATGCCGCCGACACCCCTTAATATTGAAAAATGATGTAATTTAACTTCAATCTCATTTGTCAATCATTTTGTCTCTTTTGAGGAAGAAATTTGCTACTTTTCTAATTACGACCATAAAGCATTTTCACATCTGAAGTAATTGAAAGGAAGTAATAATTTAAATTCTGTTAGTAATCAATTAAATAATTCAATCAATCATGCTGAATTTTGATGAAAACAAAGATTACAATGCACAAAAATTGTTCAAAATAACTGCATGTATTTTGTGAAACGAAAAGAAAAATATTTTTAAAGAATTGGAAGAGAATTTTTAAAAGCTAAAATTTAAAAGAAATTTGCTAAGTGAAAAGTATCTGAACGATATGCCTATTTAAAGGCTAAAAATGATTACTTTATTTAATGTTTGCTTTCTTTTTCAGGCATATCACTTTTGCCAATGAATGCCTTGGGAAAAAGTTTGTTTACAACTGACTGTCTTTGACATAACAAAAAATGCTAATATTAGTCACGCGCTTCCCGCAAAATGAATTAAAACCCTGTACAAATATAATTTTAATCGACTAATGTAAACATAATTTTATCATTAATTTCACTGCAATGCAAATGTAGACAATCGAGAAGCATCTTTACTTCTACAGAAAACAAAAATAGTCTAATGATTCCATACTATTGTTTAGGCTATAAGCTTTTACCAGCCCACAAAGAAAATTACGATAAGCATGAAAAGATAGATTGGACCAATGATTTTCAACTTAAAAATAAACTTTTTATCTTTAGGTAATAAGCAATAAAATTGCTATGAAAAAAAAATTTAAGCAACGAGAGATTTTTTTCACCACTCTCGTCTTCTTCACGTCTTCACGTTCATTAATGACATTTTAATAAAAGTAGGATTCTCATTTTTCATGTCACCACAAACATTAAGATTTGCAACTATCATAGTAATCTGTCGATATTATTTTACTAGAGGAGAACCAAAACCGTGGGTAGGAAGTCGAAGGCGGTTTCTTTTAAATGTGAAAGTGTTTGTTGGGTAATGTTGATGAAATTTAAGTATGGTGGGTGGGAATTATTGGGAATTCGACTTCCATGCATTTCCTGATATGGAAGGAAGGAAGAGGAGACGTCCGACATGTTTCGAGTATAGTTGTTGCTCGTGAAATGCCAATGTCAAAATGTTCAAGATTTTGTACGATCGAAATAACTATTCCCTGATTGTAAAGTTATTCCTCTATTTTACGACTACTTTTTTTTAATTATTCCGATTTTTAGTAAGTTACTATTGGTCATGTGGGTGGAGTACTTATGCTTTGTCCATGATAGTTTTTTATTTGATTGTTAAATGATCAAAAGAGATAATCTTAAAGAAGATCTTCAATGTCGCTTCTTTTTCTATTGGATTATTTATTTTGCTTCTCCCGTGTTTGATTGTAGATCACTTTTAATGGAACGTCAACAGAGTCGCTTATTTGTACCATACAAGGCACTCGGTGAAGTTTGTTCATCTGTTCCACCAGCTTTTCGGGTACTTCGAAGAAAACGGAATGAAAGTTACGTCATTTGTGCTGTCGACAACGTTGTTATACAATATCTCTGTGAAAATTTGCGTGTGATATCAGTGAGTAATGTTCTACCGGCTAGAATTAGCGTAGTTGCTGCCGATTCTCACTATATTTATGCTGCCATTGACACAAGAATAGCCGTTTTGTATTTAGCCAGGTATTTGAACTCAAGTTCTCACTCATTTCACTATTTTGTTCTCCGAAATCTATTTCGAGTTGTGCAAAGTACACGCAGAAATTCGGGAATTATGGAAATATTCATTTTTCGATAGGATTATTTTTATACAAACTTCGTTTTTTTATTCTGATTTTTTCACTATGTATGTGAAAAATTATGGATAATTAAAATTTCATTTCAGGCAAGTTAAACGATGGCTAGAAGTATCTGATAACATACGTTGGCTTATTCCGTTTGGCGACGTTCTAGTGGTTGTGGACGCAAAGAGTTCGATTCATGTGATGGATGTTGAAACTGGTGACGAATTGGTGTTGATTGAAACATCCGGACAGTTCGATTGTTCAGCAATTACTCATCCAGCTACTTATCTTAACAAGGTGCTACTGGGATCCAGACAAGGTCGGTTTGAATTCTCTAGAAAATTCATTTTTATCTCGACCAAGTTACATTTTTAAAAATAATTTCCAATAGGGATGTCGAAATCCATGTTGTATAGTTTTGAATCTGTGATTTTTTTGCAATGATTTGATTTAATCAAATAACCTCTTTTAAGGGACTTTACGTCTTATTAATTTCAAAACTGGCAAACTAATTCATGAGTTTGAAAAAATGTTCGAGTCGGAAATAATAGTTCTGGAGCAATCACCGGCCATAGATATCGTCGCTGTTGGATTAAGAAATGGTCAGATTATATTGCATAATATTAAATCTGACGAAACGTTGCAAATGTATATGCAAGATGCACCAGTAACATCAATTGCATTCAGGTTGTTCTTTTCAAACTTGATTATTTTTGATTTGCAAGAATATTTATAATTCTTCCAGAATTATTTCACTTCAATACTGTTTCTTCCTTGCAACACTAAATTCCACATGCATCAACAAATTTGTTATGCACGAATAATTTTTTTAAGTTTCTGTTTATGGACTTTCTGTTATTTTTTTTTTATTTTTGAGTTTTTAGAACCGACGGTGAGGAAACAATGACTACAGCATCAGAAAATGGAACATTGGCAGTTTGGAATTTAAACAAACGTTCCTTGTTGGGACAGTTGCCCGATGCACATCATGGCTCAATTACAGGAATATATTACGTTAATGGCGAGCCGTTGATGATTTCAGCAGGAGTTGATAACACGTTAAAAACTTGGATTAGTGACATGGGCGATGGCATGCTCAGACAGTTGGTTTTGCTTGATGGACATTATAAACCGGTTACTGCGGTAAAATTTATCGACAACGAAATGTAAGCTTCTGATGTTATAATCCTCACACAATTTTTTTGTCTCTCTGTTTACTTTTTTCATCAAAAACAAAATGCTCGCAATATGTTTCAAAAAATATGCCATTGTTTTATTCGTATTTTTAATAGAAATTAATTTTAGTGTAATTTGACAGCTGTAACTGTCATATTTTGCTGAAGAAAGTATTATTTAAATCGATTAGATTCTTAGAATTCATAAAATCAAGAAATTTCAGTATCCTTTCATCTGGTTTGGATGGTTCTGTAAGGGCATACTCAGTATCTCGTGATACACATAGACAGAAATTAGGAAATGCTGGTACCATGTCCAGGTAATTTTTGTTTGCTTAGCTTATATTTCATTGTATATTTTTCCTTGTTGTTTATCTGCTCATTATATTCCTTCATGTTATTTAATGCATTTTTTCGATTCTGTAGAATGAAAGCGAAAAAGAAAAAACGTGATATCGAGAGCATCAAATTGAAACCGGTGATTGAAATGGACGTGAAATTAACGCGGGAAGCAGCTTGGGATAATGTCATGTGCCGTCATATTGATACAGCCCCAGTGACAACATGGACCACAAGAAAGCAAGCTTTGGGGACATATCGCGTTTGTTTTGCTTGGAATTTTAGTATTCATTTTTGATATTTTACCGAATATTATGAATTCTTCACTTCGTATAGCATAACTTGATTTCAAAATTTACCACTTTTATGGTTTTCTACAGGAAGTGTTGATTTGAAAAGAAAATCATTGCATCTAAAATATTCCTTCTGAAATTCACTTTCTTTTCAGTTGCTTCATAAGAGATTTGTAACTAAACCACATCTCGTATCTGCTTGCGCATCAGCAATTTGCGTCTCATCGTGTGGCAATTTCGGTGTAATTGGGTACACGTCTGGTCACATTGACTGCTTTAACTTGCAGAGTGGACAGCACAGGAAAACTTTCCTTTGCAGTAAACAAGATGAAAAAGCTCATCAGTCTGCTATTCGAGGATTGGCACTTGACATACTCAATAGGCAGCTCGTAAGTGATAAATCTTTTAGTCATTGTAGTTTGATTAAAAATTGGAGGTATTTCTCAAATAAACTTTTATGTCTATCCACAATTATGTCTCATTTTTCCTTTGATTACTATTATGCGATGCGGTGTTACGTATAACATCTAATTTATTATCTATTTTGGAGGTCTCAGCCGAACAGAATGGACTGATTCGATTTTGGAATTTTCGTAACACGAAATTATTAGCCGAAATGAAAGTTCCATCACCGGTTATACGATTTTGCATGAGTGGCAATAACTCATTGTTGGCTCTTGGTGTAGGAAATGGTTCAATTGGTGTGATAGATATTTTGTGCCGAAAAGTTGTTAGAATTGTGAATGGTGCCCATCGATCATCCTTTACTTCTTTGGGATTTTCACCTGATGGTAAATGGCTTGTCAGCGCTGACGATGAGGGTTTCATTAAAGTTCGTTTTTTTTCCTTGTTTATCTAACATTTCTATTTTTGTATTATATTTTAAAAGTTTGTATATCTTTTCATCATAAAGGTTAACTGATTTCGCTGTCAGCATCAATTATCATGTTTTAGATTTGGGATCTTGTTACGAATAGCCTGATTGATGTTATGAAGTTTGAGTCGCATTGTATATCGTTTTGTTTTTCATCAAGTGGAGAATATTTGGCTACATGTCATCATGAGCGAAGGAGCATATACATCTGGGCCAATAAAGCATGGTTTACCTCTTTGAATGCTTTGAAAGCGCTGCCGTTGGATTACGTTCCCGAGGATTCTTTAGCTCTACCCGTGCAAAAGTATGCTTATTTCTGAGCAAACGTAACAAAATACACAACCGTAAACAAAGAAAGATAAAGAATAATTACTAGATGAAATTCAAAACATAAAGCATTATACTGGAGGAATAAATAGATTTTTTTCATTTTAAATAAATATTTTTGAATGGCACAATATTAGTGAATCATTGAAGCAGAATAGGTTTTAGATGTTTATCACAAAGCTTTATCGGTAGTGAAGTGCAATGTTCAGTAGAAGGAACTGAAGTGCCTATGGAAATTGCGTGCGAAAATATACCGGAAGTGAAGCAGGTAATGTTGAGTTTTCAGAGTAAAAAAGATTGGTATTTTATAAACAAAAATTTGCGTTTTGTGATTAGTGCTATACTTTTCGTGCCCCCATTATCTCAGGTTTTAGAAATCAAGTTAAATTACCGGGACTTGAATAGGCATTTTCAGAAATGCAAGATGAAACATTTTGTAAAATATGGTATTATAGATCATAAATAAATTAAGGTTGAAAGTCTTGTAACTTTGTCGGGTTTGGCGCCTTCACGTTGGGTGAATTTGCCAGATTTGGATGTAATTCGAGAACGAAATAAACCAATCGAACCACCGCGGAAACCAAAAGCTGCACCATTTTTCTTACCCGCGGTCTCAACACTTGATGGTTTCGAGTTTGAAAAGATGAACACTGGTACTGATGAAATAGAGCGACGCAATGTATTAATGGCGAAACGAAATGTGTTGGAGATTGAATCTTCTTTCGCGCAAACATTATTACAGTAAGATCTTTCAATTTTCCGAAATCTATATATCCAAACGCTTCATGTTACCTGTCGCATATGCTAGACTGACTTCATGAACAATGTTTATTATTTTTTTAAACATAAATTGAAGAAACCGGCGAATAAACAGTTGTATTTCAACTGCATTTGTTTTTAGGGCTTCAGATGACGCTGACTTCATCAGTGCATTTGAATCATTGAAATGGATGAGTATCTCCGCGATAGACTTTCAAATTCACATATTGCCGGAAAGAGTGAGTTGTATTTGCATCTTTTTTTGATTCTGCAAATTTAAGCAGCTCATTTATTTTCAAGGTTTCGGATGGCACTTACTTTAATAAATAGTAGGGATTGTGCTTATTGATCAGTGAATTTTATTTCAGGCTCTAAGCAGTTTCTTGAAAATGCTTCTCGCAGTTCTAAGGAGTCATCGCGATTTTGAACTTGTCCAAGCCTACTTAGCTGCTTTCCTGAAAATCAATCGGAACAAGTTGTGGAGTAGCTGTATTAAGAATGATGATTTGAATAGAACATTGGGCAAATTAAATGATGAACTGAAGAAGAGTTGGGAGGAAATTGATCGATTGATGCTTCACAATGCTTCTTTGCTGCAATGGATAAAAACGGCTCTATTGTAGTAATCATGTTATATAAATTTTATTATAGGAATCGAATTTATTGTCATCATTCTTGTTATTGTTAAATTCATTGTAAATATATTTGAGTACTTATGTATAATTTTCTGAAAAGTATATTTTTTTCATGTTTTTGGATTCATAAATAATGTTGAATTAGATTTACAAAATAATCTTTTTAACTTTTTGCACCTCCTGTTGTTGTGCTGTTATTTATAACTTCTGAAAATCCTTGCAAGTATGCTTAAATTTTGTGGGCGAAAATTTTTTTATCTGATTTCGAATTCCATTTTTGTTTGGAAATGATCAAGCGTCTGAGGTGGGATCACTGATCTTTCCCATTTTTGTGTTGAAGAGCTAGCCTGGGTTCAGCTGAGATTCATTATTCTAGTAAATTAGTTGATTTCAGCGAAGAGAGCTTTGTTTTGAGGTTCCGATAATTTACAGACAAAAATGTCTAAAGAAAGCTGCATGTTTGGTGCAGCGGCGGTCACGTCAAGTGGTAAGTTTTTTCTGCTTAAAACTCGTTGTGACTTAATGGGAGAACTATGTGTATATATGATTAATGGATATGGGTGAAAGTAAATTTCATATTGGTCTACTTTTACTTTATTATATGGATTTAATTCGTCTCTGACGCGTGTCAGAGAGCATATTACGATTACTGTTGCCATCGTTCAGCTTGTTCGTTTCAGACGAGAAGGTTGAGAAGAAGCTTAGTAGAAAAGAATTGAAAAAACTGCAGAAGAAAGCAGAGTATGAGCGTGAAATTAAAGAAATGGGTGGTACAGTTGAAAATCAAGAAGAAGCAATTGAGAAGAAGGGTTGTTTCTTTGTATTTTCCATCAATAAGAAATAAATATTTCCATACGCACTATTTAAATCGTTGAAAACACTGTAAGGTATTTTTGATGTTCAGAATATGTTAATCCCAAATATTAACGAAACGTGCTCTTGGATACACTTTGTATTAGTTTTTTTTCGCTGTATTCTAATTATATCCGAAGTGTTTAGAAAGCGGTGGAATTGGGTCAGGTGCGGAACTTGGACAGCAATTTTCTGTCTCGCAGCAAGCGAAGTCCGTCGGACAACGGAATCAACTTGAAAATGCCATTGACATTAAGGTTATAAAGGAATTAACTTGGAAATATTTACATTATGTTAAGAAAAGCGTTTAATTTTTCGTTTTTCCATTGAATTGAGAGGTGATGTGCAGGATTTTATTTAATTTGTTGATTTTAAACAAGCTTTCCTCATATTCCACATTCTGCAATTTAATATAAAAGATGTACAAAATTAAAGCACACAAAAAATAGCATGCAGGTTGCACTGAAGTAGATAATTATAGCCACTAATTTTAAGGTGAACGCTTATTGCAGGTGGAGAATTTTGATATTGCAGCTCAAGGACGAGTTTTGTTTCACAAAGCTGAGTTAACAATAGCTTTCGGAAGACATTATGGTCTCGTGGGCCCAAATGGGTATGCGATAAAAATTTGTTATGTTTTATGTGATATTTCATTTTTTCACTCTGAGGAATTAATCTGCTGTTTTGCAGAATGGGCAAAACTACACTTTTGAAACATATTGCGGCCAGAAGGTTGGAAATCCCACCAAATATTGACCTTCTTTATTGCGAACAAGGTGTGTTCCAGAATAAATTTATTGTTGAAATTTTTATTACTTCACTTTCTAGTAGGAATTTTATGCAGCGTGCATATTATTGATTAGTCTAGCAAATTTCAGAAATTGAAGTTGATAATACCCCGGCTATTGATGCAGTTGTTAAATCAGACAAATATCGGCTGGCTTTGATCGAGGAGGAGGCGCAATTGATAAAGAAGTTAGAAGAAGGAGACGTTTCAGTTGGCGAACATCTAAAAGAAGTAATTGTTTGAAGCTGCAGCTATGAATGTAGTGCAAATAGTTTTTCATAATCAATAGAACTGATGAAATCCCAAAATTTTTAATAAAATGTTTGTAATATTACCGTTTGATAAAAGATCTCCAGGATATAAAATAACCAGGTCACTGATGAACTGAAGAATATAAATGCAGACGCAGCGAAACCAAAAGCACGCCGTATATTGGCAGGTCTCGGCTTCACGAAAACCATGCAAGAAAAAGTCTGTTCTTTTGTCCATTCAGCACTCTATATTGGGAGTCTTTCAAACCTGCATTTCAACTTTTTTAGCCAGTTGAAGCATTTTCGGGTGGTTGGCGTATGCGTATTTCATTAGCCCGAGCTCTTTTCTTGGAACCAACATTATTGATGCTTGATGAGCCAACTAACCATCTTGATTTGAATGCGGTCATTTGGCTCGATAAGTTAGTTTAAAATTTGTATAAACTTTATGAAATTGTATATGTTGAGATGCTAGTAAATTCTGCACTCCATTGGTATCAAATTAATTCCAATTAATGACTTTTAAATATGTTTGAATTGATGGGATTCCAAATCCTTGTCAATCTTTTATTGCAGCTATTTACAAACGTGGAAAAAAACCTTATTGATTGTCTCACATGACCAGGGTTTTCTAGACAGTGTGTGCACAGATATTATCGATTTGCAAGATCAGAAACTGTATTACTATAAAGGAAATTATTGTAAGTTTTGGAGAGTTCAGTACAGCTCTCACAGCCTTCTTTACATTATTTGTGCACAGACTATGTCGTTAGCAACCAGCTGTATAAAAAAATAAAAGCTCGGAATAAGTCAAATTTATGTGTTTTAGCCAGTTTAAAAAGGAATTCTAATTTAATCATTGTGATATTTTATAGCTGCTTTCAAGAAAATGAAGGATCAGAAGATGAGGGAGCACATGAAAGCTTTCGAAAGTCAGCAGAAGCAACTAGCTGCAATGAAAAAAGGTGGCAAAAGTTCGAAACAAGCTGTTGAAGAAATGAAAAACCGGCTACAAAACAAGCAAAATAAAGTTAACAAGGGCAAAAAAGGCTCTACTGCTATGGCCGATATTGGTAATTTTTCGTAAAATGCGTGCACTAATGATCCATCCTTACCAGAAAAAGCCTCACAATGTTAAAAAAATCTTTTCATTATTTTTTGGACATCACTTGAATGACAGTATTGCCTTCTGACGTATGCCATTTGTTTTAGCTGATGCACCAGTCGAATTGCTACATAAAATTAAAGAATATAATGTGAAATTTACTTTTCCGGACCCAACAAAATTGCCACCGCCAGTGCTCGGATTGCACGGTAAAAATTTTCAGCAAATAGTGCAAACTTTTTTTGGCTGTATTGATTTGGTATCGGAAAAGTTGATATTGTTGTGTTAATGTTTGTCCCTTTGTTTTGTTTCTTGTCTTGTCTTTTTTTAAATAGTATTTTGCAGGCGTAACTTTTGGCTATAAAGACCAAATGTTATTTAAAAACCTTGATTTTGGCGTGGATATGGATTCTCGTATTGCGATTGTGGGACCCAACGGTGTTGGGAAATCAACACTACTAAAGTTATTGGCAGGCAAAATTGAACCAGTAAATAGAAAATTTTCATTATACACTTACGGAAAAGTTCTCAGATATTTGATTAGGACTTAAAGGCTCATACAAGAACCGAATTCCCATTGATTGTTGAGAGAAACCTGATCGAAGTAAATGGTATTTTTTTCAACAAAAGTGGATTTTAGCACCAAGGTGAAGCCCGAAGGCACAGACAGCTACGCATAGGATGGTTCGACCAGCATGCCAACGAAGTACTGAATGGCGAACAAACTCCAGTCGAATACCTTTTTACTAAATTCAGGATCGATTATCAGGTTAGATTTTAGAGTGCTTTGATGTAGGAAGTTTGAGAAGCATTCATCTTTTCCTTGTTCCGGCGTATTTTTAAATTACTCGTCTTTATGCTGAATTGCATATTTGATTTTGTTATATTATTGTGATGCATACATGATTCACTGCTTAAAGACCGCGAAATATTGTTTTTATTATTCATTGCAGGATGCGAGAAAGCGATTGGGTACAGTAGGTCTTCCAAGCTCCACACACACTGTAAAAATAAAAGATTTATCTGGTGGACAGAAGTCTCGCGTTGCTCTCGCCGAATTAGCTTTGGGAGCTCCGGATTTGCTGATATTGGTGACCTTTTTGTATATTGTAGATTGTAGATTGTATTATATTGTATATTGTAGATTGTATATTATATGCTATATTGTAGATTGTATTTTTGCAACTTGGAAAAAAATTATGTGAGTTAGAATTACCTGTATGGTCAAATTTAACAGACAGATTTATTTTGAGTAAAATATAAAATATTTCTTTATCTCCACATCCTGCAACATGTGTTCAAATAAAATTTATAAACTATGAAATACGGATAATTTATTATTTACATTATCCACAGATATTCCTGTATTCCTGCACTATTAAGTGTAATGTTTCCATTAAATAAAACACTCTTTTCGAATTAAAAATATATTTTTCAGGATGAACCTACTAATAATCTCGACATTGAATCAATCCATGCATTGGCAGAAGCAATTGAAAACTTTGGTGGTGGTGTAGTAATGGTTACACACGATGAACGTTTGATAAGGGAAACAAATTGCCAGTTGTGGATTGTTGAAAACTTGGTTTGTTGTAGATCTTTTCCATTTTGCATTCAGTTTTTTTGATGTGTCTTTTTGATTTGAACATGATGCATTGTGGCGAGATATTCTGAGGATAATATTTCAGAACTCTTAATCGCTTCATCATTATTTACTTCATGATCTAATCATCAGTAAGTTTACTGCTAAATTTAAATTATAGGGCGTTGCTGAAATTGATGGCGATTTCGAAGATTATAGGAAAGAAATCCTGGACCAACTTGGAGAAACATCAACGTCACTGGAAAAAGAAATTGTTGACCGTTAAATAACTCTGATACCATTTTCAAGAATTTTTGTGGTTGACTTGAATTCTCCATTTTCCATTTTCATGGGTTAGATTGCACTTTTTTGTCCAATTTAAATTAATAGTTTCAATTTACTGTCGCCAGGACATTGCTTCGTTTAGCATTCACTATAATTGTTTCAAAGTATTTTCGAAATTCGAAAATTTGTAGTTCATGTCTCGGTTTCCCCCTTTGTATTCAGCTTTCTGTTCAGTTGAAAGCAGGCAGCTGGAGTGCTCTTTTCTTTTTTCTAGATAATTATATTTTTCTAATCATGATTTCCAAGTCAATCATTTTTGTTTTTATTTATCATGTCACTTTTCTGTGTTAGTCGATTTTAATCCTTTACTTCATTTCGACATTTCAAAAACATGAAAACCCAACAAATGCACAGTGGATTATTCAACAAATCACATCGTTTAAAAGAGTATCACGTATAATAAGGTGAAAGAAAATCGGAAAGAGTTTTAAAAACCGAAACTTGATTGAACAGAAGAGAATAGAAAAAGTACTGAGTATGCTTGCTTCAACATTTACCAAAGTAAGCAGAAGGAAACTTGTACGTCCCATTGAAAATGAAACCGGGAACTTTTTTATTAATGCAATAAAATCATCAGGAATTTGCAGACACTCGTGTTCACGGGGAAATAATCCAGATATTGTATGAATATAACTTGGTTCCAATACATAAACAAAAAGAAAAACAAGAAAGAAAGACAGCTGATAACCTGGCAAATTGCTCCCAGAAATTCGAAGGAGGAAGCAGATCAGTCCTCGTTGGCATGACAGTGGGTGAAGCGAAATTGTATTTTTATATGGCCAAACTTGCGAATTGAAAGAAGCGTTAATGTAACAGGGATCTGGCTCTGCAAACATGCATTTGATATTTAGACTAGGACAATACAATAGGTTTTCGCAAATTTCAAAGTTCTGACAATTCAAGGACAAATTATTTAAATGTATTTATGTTAATTGGAAATTTATTTAGTTTTAGGTAACTTAATTTTATCTAGAATCTTTGGAAATTGTTAATGGATGATAACAAATTTGTACTCGATCAACTTTTTGATTTTTTCCAAGTGAATCGGCCAATAATTTTACCATCCATTTGATTCCATGTCAACTTGCTGTCTAAAATGAACATAGTTACCTCCACCTTTAGCTTCTTGCTTTTAAATGATGAAAAGTTGTTAGAACAAAAACCAACAGATAAGAAATAAAGGCAACTAAAAATATGCAATTAACATCAACGCTCAGTATGTATAATATATAAAATTGGCGAGTAGTGCGTAATGTTGCACTACTTGTTTTTGATTGCGATTGAAATCATTTTAAATTTCAAACGTTTGCAAAATTCATAATTTTATAAGTTTAGGTTCTTTGTAAAATGTTCATATTTTATTACTTTCACATCGCAACCCTGTGTAACTTATTCGATTTGCTAAATTTATTTCTTCATATTTCTTGTAAGAGATGATGACCTGATATTCTATCGTAACCTGGCAATAATCATGCAGATTTTAGAGATTTTCAAACAAAACTAATGAACCATTGCTGCCTATTTATCGTCAAAAATTTAATCTAAATGATTTGAAAGCTGTTATTTTGAGCTTCTTTCAAGAGATTCATCGATATATAGCTATTGGTTATTAAACTTGTGCAACATCAAATAGCTGCATATAATGACTGGTAGCTATTCGGTGATCTTTATTGCATTTGTGGATATTTTCATTTCTCATCTAATTTAGTCGAAAAATTTATTATCCAAATAGACCTAATCTGTAATTTCCTTAGTCGTTACAATAATAAAGCCATACTGGAAGTGCGATAAATCGTTTCACAAATCAATCTGCGTTCTTCAGATGTTGCTGGCGAATAAATTAACGGCTGTTGTAAATGCTCAACCCAAGCCATTTTAGAATTGCGATCTTTACAAGTGATTATCATTTCTTTACCAATCATTATCAATTTCCATGAATTCTTTAGATTTAGGCCCGTTGTGGAGTCTGAAAAATTAGAAGCAGATCAAATTTTATTCCTTTGAATTTTATACTCAAAGCAATTCTATTCATTTTAAACAAAGCGTTTGACTAAGTGAATATAAAACATTGGATTTATTAAATAAGTGTAAAAAATGAATGTAAATGAAGTATAATGTAGGTAGTTGTGTATACTTAAAGAAAATCCTCATTTTCCTGAAAAACTAACCTTTACCATCATCACAATTCAGAAATGTAACTGAATCGAGAGAAATCCGATCACGGAATATATAAAAATTACGCTTGATAAGATCTTTTTTGCATAATATTAACGATTGATCAAATAAAAATAGCAAAATATCTTTATGCCAGATGATATTTCTACCAATAACACAACGACAGTACACTTCGCCACTGTGTATCATTCGACTGTTAGTTTCCACTAAATCTGGACCCTAAATTTTATTCTAATTTTCATTTTGAACTCAAAAAATTTCTACAATTGATATAATATTGGACAAATTTGCTAAATAGTACAGAATTAAACAATGGTTCTATTTCAATCATATTCCATCTCTTATTTTAATATTTTATTATTTTGGAAGAGAATAAATATCCACCCGCCATCCTTCGACATTCAGTTGCCATAAAGCAATCTGTTGTAAACCTTCTAATCGTCGTTTCTTTTCATTTATCATTCCAGTAACATTTTTCATTGCTGATGCTGCAGCCTGAAAATGATATGATTTTAAGCGGAAAGTAAAATAACAAAAAGGCATGAATTTTTTCCTTCAAGAAAATTTATATGATAACATCAATCGATTCGGAAATACCGAATGTTAATATGTGTTACAAAAATAAATGCTATATGAAGTAATAAATAAGGAAATAAAAAATAATAATTCTACGTAAATAAGATATTGTTCTCAAACAAATGCAAAATTCGTGCCACATACTTCTATTGGTTCTCTATCGATATGTGATGTTGGCGTTGCTTTTAGTAATTCCGATAATTGCAATGGATAACGGCATATCCTTTGCACAGGCGCTAATAAAAATCCCTCTAAAGGTAGCTTTGGCATGCCTCGAAGAAGTCGACATGCCTAAACTTTCTACATTTAAGACAAAAAGTGCTTATAATAAAATCGTAAGAAAAGTTATGTAAAAGTGATAAATTTAGTATTTGACAGAAAACTTGAAAATTGAAAGTGTTTTTTTAAAGAACTTGAAAACTTTTTGAAAACATTAAAAACTTTGAAAAGTTTTTTATGAAAAATTCGGATTATCAGCGGATTATCTGTTAACTTTAATCAATGTAAAAGATTTAAATTAGATAATCATATCAAAAAGAGAATTGACAATATTAAAGCAAAATTTTTGCTATTCCCAAAAATACTGATAAAATGTTTTTCGTGCCTCGAAAAATTGATAATAGTGGGGTTGTTCATTGAGTAATGCCAATTCAGCACTCGAAACAGGCCGATTATTGCAATATTCCGAATAGATAGAAAATTTTGAACGCTAGAAATAACATATCGTAATGTAAAGATATCGTAGTATAAGGTTTGAACTATGATAGAAGCTGCGAAGAAAAAATGATAATGAAGATTTCGTTCTTTAGACTGATTTTGAAATCACTTCTTTATCACAGATGAAGCGATTTCAAATTTATTTTTGGTTTAATTTTATTTCCACGATTGCTGTGATGAATAAATTGTTCAAAAACTGGCTTATTTCTTTTGAAAGTGGCATTTTTTAGCACTAAACTTGTTAATGCTTTTAACAATGGACAGAATTAAATGAGAAAATTAACGTTTCGGAGAAAAATGGCTCCAATAGCAGAACTCTCGGGAACATTTTGATTGAATGCCAATTCAAGCTCTCGAAGAAATTTACAGTGTAGAGCATAAATTGATTCAATATTGCTGAAAAGGCATTGTACACGAGCAACCGAGAATAGATCGCTACGACGACGACATTGCTCCGTAAAACCCTGCAAGTATGCCATGAGGAAGGATAAATTTCAAAATCTTGAGTGATCAAAAATAAGGCTAAGATATTTGATAAAGCTATATCAAATAATTGGAATTCAAATCATACTACAACTTATTATTACAATATAGATTTATCAACATTTAGTAATAAAATTAAGTAAATAAAAGTGATTAGCAAAAATTGATAAAATTTCAAATTGAGTTACTCTCTAAAATTGAAACTTATTTGATTCTTGCCTTTCCAAAAAATGATCTAAGTTTAATTTAAACAATAATAGAATAATAGATCCCTCTGATAATATTATCATGATAAATATTAATCAATGGATAAAAGTAAAAAATTTCTTCACTTGAACAATATTTTGTAGTAAATTGACATAATCACGTTCTGTTTGCATTAATTCCTGAATTATTTTTGCTCGCAAAAATCTCATCGATTGTGGGAAATAATTTAATGAGAGAGCATCTGAAGTTGATGGATTGCTATTTAATACCTGAAATGTCTTCGTGTAAAAATTTGGAATACTTTTTTTGAAAAATTAATTTTTCCACTGCTTTTTCTTAATTCTCAACCTTCCCGGTAAAGAACAATTTAATAAAGATAAACAAGCTGACCCTAACATATGATGATGGAAACCATCCAACTCTTTCGCGGCAATTACCATACCAAAGTTCATGTGATGAATAGTCAAGCACTGAGATGATATCACCAATTGCAAATGGTAATTCATTAGGTAATATTGCTACATGATCCCAAACTGCTTCAACTGACAGTAAACACTGAAAAAAAATTTTTTAAATTTAATTCAATCGACTAAAGAGCATCGTCATGAGATAGAACGAAGATGAAGTTATGTTATAATTCTGCAATAGTATTCGATGTAAATGTAATCAAAGTAAGTGATTCCAGACTCATTTTAATTCAATGGTCTCTCTCATACTTTAGTCGAAATGAAGAATATCATGGAAAAGTTAGAAAAAGAATAAGATCATAGTATCAGACAATTT